AGGGAAATTCATAGAGATAGAAAGTAGATTAGAGGTTACCAGGGGCTAGGGGGCGGAGAATGAGGAGTTATCGTTTAATGGGTACAGAGTGTCTGCTTGGGGTGATGGAAAAGTTTTGGTAATAGACAGTAGTGATGGCTGCACAACATTGTGAACGTAATTAATGCCACTGAATTTTCTACTTAAAATGGCAAATTTTATGTTATATATCTTTTACCACAATTTAAAAATATTTTAAAAACCTAACCAGAACATAATGAAATAGCATGGCTAAACTACCAGAAGACAAATATTGCAGGTATTATGCTGGAAAAAGTAGACCCACAAGAAAAGTTTTTACTCAATTATCTCTAATATTCTGGTTCTCTAATATCTGCAAAGTGATTACCTGGTATCATGCAATGAAGGCTCTTGATGTGATCCTGAGTAACTCCACTTTCTGTACAAACCTTATCAATAAATCGCGTAATGAAACGCACAACAGAATTGGCAATGTCATTATTCTCTGAATCTTCAAACCCACTTTCTGTGTCATAGCTCTCAGCTACACTTCCTGCAATACTAAGAAAGTTAAGAAAAGAAATTATGGTCAGTACTCAAATGTAACAAATGACTACTATATCACAGTCAATTTCCACAGCAAGTTAAACTTGCTCAAACAGATGTATACTCAAGCAGAAGGCTCACTTAACACCATGGCTCCTTCACAGGTGATAGCGGTGAAACATGATATTCTACTTGCCTACATTGGGAAGCTACTGTCAGGCACCGTCCTTTGGACTCACATTTGTTTTTGTAAGGAATCCTTCAGTCATTCTCCTAAAAGGACCTCAGGAACCACAGAAAATAAAGCAAAAAGGGACTCTTTCATTTATAATCTGATACTTGAACCTTCTAAAAAAAACATGTCCTCCCAAGTTAATTACCACATCGAATCAGACAAAGCAATATGGCTATCTTTTGCCTTTGGCAACTGAGGGACATGTTCCCTGGTAGGCAAAGTAAAAGAACTTTTTTCAGCAAATAGTATGTTCTTCCAAACGGAAGAAACAAATTGTCCTACGAATCCTTCTCTTGCTAATATTTATCTCTCTCTGAGGGAATCACAACCTTTTTGGTCACTTTGAAGCCATCATTCTTCTGTAGGTGACAAAGTTATGCAAGAGAAGGGGATAAATGTGAAATGGAGTGTGAAAGCTCAATCCCTGCTCTCGGTGCTTATTCAGTTCACACTATTCAACAAACATTCCTGCCTCCTGTGCCTTCGTTTAGACTGCTAATCATGGAGAAGACTCATTTGCCTGTTCTAACCTACTCAGTTCTCTTTCCTCCAAATCTAGCCACATTACCTGAATCAGTGTTAAGGTAAAGCTAAGCAGTGAATATGGCCATCACATCATCCCAAGCGTTAAAAGACTTCAGCCACTCACTATGTAAATCAGGTTATAGAAAAATGTCATGAAAAAAAAAAAAAAGCAAGGTAGGAGAAAGAGTTGATGGACATGAGCTTAAGATGGGAAAGTCAGGAAGGCCTCTCTGGGTAGGTGACATTTGAGCAGAGAACTAAATGAAGTGAGGGAGTGATTCTTGTGACTATTTTAAGGAGGGTATTCCAGATTGCAGGAACAAGTACAAAGGCCCTGAGGCAGGACTACGCTTAGAGTGTTTGAAGATTAGCATTAGCAGGACACCATTTTGGCTGACTGAGAGCGATAGGAAACAAGGTCAGAGCAGTCACCAGGGGCCAGATCCTGTTAGGCCTTGTAGTCCACGGGTTTTATTCTCAGGGGTATGGGAAGTCACTGTTGAGAGCAAGGCATGGCTGAGGACATGATTACAGGGAAATGCCATAGCTAGCTGAGGAATAGGAGGGCCAAGAAACAAATAATCACTTTGGCAAGAAGAGTTCATTAGTAATTTTCCAGAGCACTTTCTGTATATTGCTATGGTAGAAAGCACCTAAAGGGCTGGATCACTAGTGGGTGAGACGTTTGAAAACTTAGGTCATGAAAGAGAAGACAGTATGAGAGGTGGTTAAGAATAGCTGGATGGGAGGCTGGCCCCGTGGCTTAGCGGTTAAGTGCGTGCTCTGTTACTGGTGGCCCGGGTTCAGATCTGGGCGCGCACCGACGCACTGCTTCTCCGGCCATGCTGAGGCGGCGTCCCACATACAGCAACTAGAAGGATGTGTAACTATGACATACAACTATCTACTGGGGCTTTGGGGAAAATGGGGGAGGGGAAGGGAGGAGGATTGGCAATAGATGTTAGCTCAGGGCTGGTCTTCCTCAGCAAAAATGAATAGTTGGATGAAGAGAAGGTCTTTTAATAGCGAAGAGCTGAGCAAGTCTGAAGGTGGGGAAAATGGATAAATTTTGAAATATGTATGGCAATATTCGCCCAAAATACTTTATATTCTCTGCTAAGCCAAGAAGAATAGAATTCTCTGTGTGTCCACATTTCAGTACCTGTTTGTGACAATGCTATTGCTCCCACTCTCCCAGTCCCCTGGCGCCGATGTTCTTAGGAGCTTGTTTTTACTCGTATCCAGTGGAACTAGCAGGTTGACCATGAGGTTTGCAAAGTGAATGGCCTGACTGAAGACAGTACTTTCCTCACGTTGCACCAGCTCCTGCTGAGCTGATTTGCTCAGAGTAGGCCAAAGGCGTAGCTGCTCGGCCGCCAGGTCCATTGCTGTCTTTTCCTGATACTGGTCATCAGGAAGCTTATCCTAAAAAACAAAGCAATACAATCGAAATCTATCACTTCACACAAGCTTCAAAAAACATGGAAGATGTTTTAATAACTCATCTACTAAATACCTATGTCAGCAAAAACAAAAACAGAGAAACAAAACAAAACCTAGTCTTCTTTATTTCCCAGCTCCAGCAGGCTCTGAGTGGAACCACATGACAAACCCAAGGAAGCAGTAGGAAAGCACAGATGGAAACACTTCTCATTGCTAACATTTCACTGCATTTATTTACCTCTACGGCTCCATCCCTTTCAAGCTGCCAGTTATGATAAATTGTTGACCTGAAGTACCTATAAAAACTCAGGTATGAATGCTCCAGTAGCATTTACTAATACTCTGATATGTTTCTTTTCTTCTGCTCTTTGGGAGAAGAAGATAGAATGACCAAAGTCACAAAAAATAGAGCTAGATTTCCTTGTAAATGTGAGTCAAACATTATCACCACTTGGGTATATAGATGACCATGGGATTTTTAAGAGGGGTTTGCTAGTAGGCTGAAGATTAAACAATAACAGTAACCCACATCTGCCTAGCACTTTATAGCTTATGAAGAGCTGGCATATCTATAGTCTCACACATCTAATCCGGGACTCAGAGGCAGACTTCTTTAGAACAGAGGACACAGAAGCAGTGACACGTGTTTGCTCTACAAATGCTTTTGCGATAAACCAACGTTAGCATTACAGCTGCTTAAAAAACTATCAAAAGCACCCCACCTGCCCAATTATTTCTGGAACATGTCTTTACATCTGCTACAAATTATTCCTTACCCAAGCGCATGTGGTGTTTTGAAAGAAAAATCTAAGTTTTAAATTAAATTAAGCAAACAATTTACACTAACAGTGTACAATAATAATTTGGAATATCAGATAGGTGTCAGATAGTGCTATTTGTTATTAAAGTTTCTGTTCTTATCATACTAATAATAGACCAATAATACATTTAAAATTACATGAGGCATAGAAATATTTGAGTATAACTATATAGTTTCTGTTAGATATCTAGGTTCATTTATTTCACATTAGGTCAATTTAAAATAGCATAATAGAAAGGATCAGTAGCAGTGTGTTAGCTCAGTATAAGAATTAAAAATTACTCTTTTTTTTTCTTTTGTGAGGAAGATTGGCCCTGAGCTAACATCTACCAATCCTCCTCTTTTTGCTGAGGAAGACTGGCCCTGGGCTAACATCCATGCCCATCTTCCTCTACTTAATATGGGACGCCGCCACAGCATGGCTTGCCAAGCAGTGCGTCAATGTGCACCCGGGATCTGAACCTGCGAACCCCGGGCCGCCGCAGTGGAGCGCGCACTTAACCACTTGCGCCACCAGGCTGGCCCCTAAAAATTACTCTTAAAGTGAATCAACACTGATATTCAAGTCTTTAATGCTGCTTTAAGTTCAATTAACGAGGATGATAATTTCTAACATTATTTCCTATATTTACAAATATAGGATATATTTATATTTATATACTTACTATATTACTTAAATGCCCTTTACTTGTATTAGACATTAAAATCTTACAATAATCATATCTATTCATTTTACCAATGAGGAAATAAGGCACAGAGAGGCAAAGCGAATTGCCCAAGACCAGACAGCTAGTGAACATTTTAAAATTTCAGAAAAATTTAAACTACTTTTTCAAACTAAAAATAATTTTATTTTAAAATATTTTCTTGGTATTTTATGCTGATAAAATAAATGGAAGCCTATAGAATATTCCTAACAGGAGACCTAGATTTATTGCTGTCATACTTTTGAGCAGAACTACTGAATTTTACATTTATTTTAGAGTCAATTAACTTTAATTTGACATTTCTTCAAGAAGTTAATTGCACAAAGACATCTGCCTAGGTATTCTAGGTTTGTTCTTTCTGTTCAACCTCCTATAATAGTTTCCAGGGAATTCTTACTTACTAAAATATAATAAAGCAATTCTAGTGCTAAAGAACCGTATTAAGAAGTTATTATGAAAAAATATGTCATAAATCAACAGAAGAAAGATGCTCACCAACAAGGCTCCCTAACGTAAACCCCAAATACATTGGTAGGAAGTGGCTAGATTTCCTTTTGTGCTGGGAATACATGAAGAAGCTTTCCTTGAAGCCAGGATCCCAGCCCCACACAAGTACCTTTCTTCTCTTGTCTCACCTTTTGCTTCAGATGTGGGACGTGATTGTCTTCCTTGGCTGAGAGATACAGGGAACGAACCTGTTCCTGCACTGCATTATAAAAGGTTGTCTCCCAGAATTGCTGATTTGTCCAAATGGAGTGGTCCTGTACGCAGGTGTAGGCAAACTGGCTGACTCCAGGGGCAAGTTTCTGTGAGAACACACAATATACATCACCATGGGGCTGACAGAGTCATGACAGTTCAGGTTACAGGGGCCACAGTTAACCACGGGATCAAATGATTTATCTATAAACGATATCTTACAGCAGGATGAGCTTAGCAATCAGCAATCTACTCATTTTTAACTGGCAACTTTGGGCTTGCTATCAAATCCTTTAGGGTCTCAGTCACTTTATCTATTAAAATGGACATTTTAGCAGCAGCTAAAAATCAAAGTTATTATATGAATTAGAGAATATATGAAAAGTACCTACCACTGTACTGTGCACACAGTAGGCACTGGAGAGTTGGTAGGCCTCATTACAATTAGGACATATAAGAAAATCCATCACAATCTAAACATAAAACTCCAGATAATTTAAAATTTCTTCTACTTGGTTTTAGAGTACATTTTGGGGGGGTACTAATCGACATGTGAGTGAGCCTACAACTTGGCCTTACACACAGAATGAAGGCGTGTCATGAATTTGGGACTCAAGAGGAATTGCACCCTCCCTACTGCTCACTCTAGCCCTTTACCTCCCCAAGAAGGCTGCTGCCTGGCTCACATACTTCCTAGCAGACTGTCCTGGGCTTCAAGGGCATTTTCTGTTAACCAAGTCTGGGCATGGGAAGGTAATCTCAAACCAAATCTTTCTTTCCAGGACTTCCTGCTGGGCTTCAAAATAAGAGTAAACCGTACTCTGTGATTAACAACAGAAGTAAGGAAAACTAACTCTGTCACTTGAGACACTTCATAAATATTTATATATCTCTTTAAATACTAAAATCTTGTTAAGATGCACATTATTATCGCCTATTTATTTACTGGTGAGAAAGAGTGGCCCTGAGCCAACACCTGTTGCCAATCTCCCTCTTTTTGCTTGAGGAAGACTGGCCCTGAGCTAACATCCATGCCCATCTTCCTCTATTTTTTGTATGTGGGACATCGCCACAGCATGGCGTGAAGAGTGGTGTAGGTCCACACCCGGGATCCGAACCTGCAAACCCGGGCCACTGAAGCAGAGGATGCCGAACCCAACCACTACACCACCAGGTCGGCCCTATTGCCAATTTAAAGAAAAGAAAATAGAAGTTCAGGGAGGTTTAAGTGATTGCCCAAGGCCATATAGCAATTACATAAGTGGTGAAATTGGGTTTCAAGCCCAAAGTTTATTCGGTTCCAAAGCTCCTGATCTTTTTACTATACCAAATTGTCTTGCAAAGGAACTGAAAGAAAATCATAAAATAAATTAAATACCAATTAGCACTGCTGTCTGTTTTTTTTTTTGCACTTTAGGATTTTGTTTCCCAAAGTAATATTCTGCCTCAAAACCTCTGATATGATTTTAATTAACACTGTGTTTGTAATTTTACAGATAATATACATTGCTAAATTTCAGTTAATGATCTGAGTCATCTTTCCACAGTTATTGTTTTCACCTCTAAAAGTTAAAAATGTTTCAATTTTTTTTTTTTTTGGTGAGGAAGATTAGCCCTGAGCTAACATCCGTTGCCAATCTTCCTCTTTTTGCTGAGGAAGATTGGCCCTGGGCTAACATCTGTGCCCATCTTCCTCTACTTTATACGGGATGCTGCCACAGTATGGCTTGACAAGCGGTGTGTTGGTCCGCGCCTGAGATCCAAACCTGGGGAACCCCAGGCCCTGAAGCAGAGTGCACGAACTTAACCACTATGCCATCAGGCCAGCCCCTCAAAAATTTTTTAATCCATCATCTTCAGCAAACAACAAGTAACACTCTCAATAAACATAACTTTTTTGTCCATTTTATTCTTTGGAATTGAGTTCATTTGTTTTTTGAGAGTGGAACTAGAGTTTCTGATAATATAAGTTTTATTTTGAAGCAATTTAATAAGCTGAATTCTCTTCCCCTGAAATGTTGGACACAGAAGATTATTATTAAGGTTATATACATAACAGTTATGTAGCAAAAGTTGGTTCATTTCTTAGGGATGCACAGCAGATGTACAAGATACTTGGTAAAAATTATATGCTCAAAACATGCTAATTTCCTTCTTGGTCTAGAGCAGACTAAACCTTGAACTGGAATAGGCACCATGCCTACCATGAAATGTAGTACTTGTGTAGCTGAATGTAGGGTGGCTGTGATTTTGCCTATGAGAGTTTGTGTATTTCTGCATCCCATGTGTAAGTAAGTCCCTTTTAAGATAGGCCTATGCACTGTTGCTGAGGTGGTCGACTATAACTCTATTAGGTGGCTGTAAGCAGGGACTGACCATGAAGCAAAAATCAGGAGTTTCCCAAGGCGAAGCTGCACGAAGATCACTGTTGGTCTTCACAATGCCTGTCTGCTCATTTAAGACATGGCTACTATCTACCCATGGGAAATCAGAGACAAAATGTGTGTGGTTCTGTGAGTATGTCAGCAGAAGCCACAGACACTGTGAATCACATGCTCCTTATACTCTGCTTGAAGATACTTCGGATGTGGGCTGCAAATTTTTCTTTTGCCCCTAAGCACTCTAAGGACTAACAACGACCGCAGTAGCAGTGCATAGGCCTATTTTGAGAGATTTTAAAGGCATGAAATTGAAACAAGATAAAAGCATAATTCTCAACTGCCTCTCCCATGAGTATAATCAGAGGCAGCACCATTTCTTACAAAGGCAATGTAATGAATAGCAGCTCTTAAAATTTTGGAGTTCTGAAATTATATTAATATAGATGAGCTCAGAAAAACTGAGCTCTGAACAAATCCTTATCAGTTTCTCACATGAAGTACTTTTAGGATCTTCAACACATCAAAAAAGTTATTATTAATTACAAATCTCTTACTACAACTTGACAGAGCTCTACAGGAATCTGACAGTATGATGAAGCCCTGACTTTCTCTTTCAGCATTTTTCTTACTGATGCTGCATTTTCACTTTCCTTGGCACATATCAGTTATTATCTTCCTGTTTATTCTGAAACTAAAAGTGAATATGTAAAAAATTCCCTATATGTTTTGAATATAAGTGGACTATGTATGTTCTAAAGCAGAAAAACGGTATAAAACAGAGTGACAGGGGCCCAAAGGGTCAGAACCCACAGCTTGTTTACTAGGTGAGAATTATAGCAGGATGAAGTGATTATAGGATAAATAGTTTTTGGTGGCAAGACAGTCACAAATGGCTATGGCACCTGATACATGCATAAGAAATCATTAATTCTCAAATACTACTTCAAATATTATTATCTTTCCTAACCTGAAATTTGCCTCCTTTCTTTGTGGTTTCCTGCTATGTCTTCTCAACAGCAAGGGGCACTATATCCCTCGCTCTTAGGATGGGCAGGGCCACTGCACTGATGGGCAGGGGTGTTCTTAGGACCAGCAGAGGGCAGTAGCACCTTATTCTGCCTAGATTTCATCAGGGCTTTAGATAGGAATTGCAAAAATGGAGCTCTGCAGTCTGGCTGGGCTATCAAGTGGGTAGTACGGTGAACACTGCATGTCCTCACTGTACATTTGAGAGACCCTATAAAGAAAATGGATTTGGCTAAGGTCACCCACCAAGATGGGTAGTAGAGAAGGGAACAGAAATAAGGTTTTCCATTATTCTACATCATTTCTGTAAGATACAAAAATTAAGATATTCCATAAAACAAAGTTATAATTATCTAGAGAAAGATGCAACAAGACTGTTTAGGATTTTAGATTCAGTGTATCCTGTGACAGTAATAGTAGTTTTAGTAAACAAAGAAAATAAGCACCTGTGGATAAAACTATCTCCTGGTTCTAATCACTTCTTTGATTTGAAGACAAAAACTTTCCCAAGACGGTTTCTCAAATTGGTCCATATGCCAATTTCATGACCTTTCATTTTATTTTATTTTTTAAAATTAATTAATTTTTTAAAAATGCAGCTTCTGATTCAGTAGGTCTGTGTGCAGAAAAGATTCTGCATTTCTTCTTTTTTTTTTTTTTGCAGGGGAAGATTCGCCCTACGCTAACATCCGTTGCCAATCTTCCTCCTTTCTTTCTTTCTTCTTCCTCTCCAAAGCCCCAGTACACAGGTGCGTATAGTCGTAAGTTCTTCTAGTTCTTCTATGTGAGCCGCTGCCACAGCATGGCTACCAACAGACAAGTGGTGTGGTTCCATGCACAGGGAACTGAACCTGGGCCGCCAAAGCAGAGCATGCCAAACTTTAACCACCAGGCCACCAGAGCTGGCTCATGACTTTTTATTTTGCACAAAGATGAGACTCAATTTGCACTGAGAGTGTGAGGGTGGTGGTGCTGGTAGAGAATGCTGTTGTCAAATGACATTTCTCTTTCTTTCCCTTTAATTCTGGCAACAATATTTACTTTACATTTCATAATAATTCTTATGATTCTGTTCTAAAGAAACAAGTGATATTTTGCCATGAACTTTTATGAGATGTTTAAGAATGTGTTGACTTCCTTCCTTATCTAGAAAAAATAGCCCTGAAGGTACTAGATTAAGCAATGGCATTCATTTTCCACAAAGCATTCAAAGGAAACCCAGCATGGGACAGGATATAGAGAATAAATTCATGGGGCTCACCAACCAGCAGGCCAGATTCAAATCCAAATAAATGCACAAATCACCTCAGAGACGAGTTGGTCAAGGGAAAGGTTAAGATAGCAGTACGAGGGGCCTGTCTAAGGCCTGTCTGGCTAGACATGTTTGCTCTCCAGGCCCAAGGCTCTAATTAGGGAGCTCAGAGGGAAACCAGATTTCAGGGAAAAAAGCTAGCTGGCAGGACTAATTCCTTAAATATGTAACGGTCTTAAAGAATACTGCAAAATAAAAAGATTCACTGTTTTGATTGCTGGGTATTTCCTATCCAGTTCTGCACACTGGAATACAAGTGCACCTCACTGCACAGATCAGAGATGGTGCCAGCCAGTCCTTTTATGATTCTACACTGGTCTGACCAAGTCCAGATACTAAGTCACTTTAAGAATTTATTTCTGAGTATTTTCTGATGAACTTTGGAAATGCTTAGTCTTGAGGGACAAACAAAAGGAAGATAGGAATAGGAAAAATGTGCATCCAAAACCTGTATTTATCAATTTTAACCAAATCTTAAACATATTTGCTTTGTGCATTTTTTTTTTAAACAAAGGACACATAATATTACAGATTTGGTTGAAGCCCACTGTGTACCTCTCTTGATCCCATTTTCCTTCTATCTTAGAGGTAACAAGGATCCTGAATTAGGTATTTTTCATGCCCATTTATGTTTTTCCACCTGTATATATGCATAAAGAGTATACAGGATTATATTGCAGGTTTCATTTTATCTCTTATTGATGCTTTTCAAAGTATACAACTTATATTTCACTGATCTATGTAAAATTTAACTAAACTATGTAATTAGGGCAAAACACAACTGGCTCTTTGTAAACATACAACTCAGTTATTAGGGGCAGAAAGAGAGTGGCCTATAAGCAATGAGTATTTAGGATACTGTGTTCATTAGTCATTAGGAGTTACAGAATGGTGAGTAATCCAATTAAAAGGAGGTGATTATGAGAATCTACTATAGTTTTTCCTGTTCTACTACCTGATACTCTAAGTGCAAGTAACTTCAAATTCATAATGGTCTAAACCTCTCTGGGGTTGCTTAGAAGATCCAGGCACATAATTTCTGCACAAGAAGTATATTCATTCAACACTATTGCCCAGTATTCATTTGATGTGCCAATGTCAGTAGTTGGAATGACAGGGTTGAAGTCCTTCTAATGATTATCCTTCTAGTGATTCTCTGTATTAAGTTGCTTAGTAAATATTGAGAAATCAGAGTATGAATCAATTTCTTTCCTTTGTGGTCCAGAAATTAAATACAGGCTCGTTGTCAAGTACTTTGCCTGGGTTTGGTACTCTTAAAAACACAACACAGGCTCCAAATCCCCTCTCCGTTTTTTTTTTTTGCAGGTTTTTAAACTTTATATAAATGGTATCATATTATGTTTTATTCTGCAACTTGGTTTTTCATACATTATGTTGCTAGACTTATCCACGTAATAATACATAATAATTATTACTATAACTAACCTGTACTGAGCTCTCACTATGTATATTTATCCACTGACTTAGTCCTTACAGCAATCTCATGATTACCCTGTTTTAAAGGTGAAGAAACTGAGGCACAGAGAAGTTAAGTAACTAGTCTAAGAGAATACTGCTAGGAAGTGGCAGAACCAGAGCTGGGATTCAAACCCTGGTAGTTTAGCTACAGAATCTAGTTTTGTAATCACTGCGCAGTTAACCACTGTATGGAATTCCATTGTATGAATATATAGCATTTCCTCGTTCCTGTTAATGGACATTTGTATTGTTTCCAACTTTTTGCTATTATACACAATGGCGCATGAATATTATCACACACGTCAACTGCCAACTTTGATTATTGGTTTCAGTACCATGGAATAGTGCCTGGTGGTACTTAAGAGAGGCCTAACAAATACGGTAATTCCCATTGTTATCTGTCCAAAAACATTTTTGAGTTATTGTACAGTGGTTATTTTTCCAATGAGAAATTATTTCATGCAGATTTTTTGCAAATCCACTATTTAAAAAAATTAACAATAATTATTTAATATCAAATATCTAGTCAGTGTTTAAACTTTTAATTATCTTTATGTTAAGAAACTTTTTCTTTGTTTTCTTTCCTTTTTTGTCCCTTTTAAATAATCAGTCTGTTTGACTTAGGAAGGACTCAAATAAGGTCCATATATTATTCCAACAGAATTTCCATCAGTCTGGTGATTGCTGACTGCATTCCAGTGGTGTCATGTGACATTCTTTTGTCCTCTGTATTTCCTGCAAATTGGTAGTTGGATCTACAGGCTTGATCTAGATTCAGGCTTGATTGTTTGGCAAGAATACTTCATGGACAGTACTACCATAAGAGATACATCTGGTTGTTTCTCCTTTCGTGATGTTAAAGGCCACTGATGGTCAATGTCTAGATTCATTAATCATTAGGAGTAATAAAATAGTGACATTCTCACTCTACCTTTACTCTCTCACTTATTAGCTGGAATATTTCTATAAAGAGAAACTTCTCATCAACTGTTTGGTGATCCAAACATACAGTCTGTATTAGAAAGCACGATACATACATGATTTTATCCCTTCATTTATCAGTTTTAAAAACAATGACTTGTTTTTCCAGCATCCATCATAGATGACCAATTCGTTTTTCTCTTTTTTATTCATATTTTTATGAACTCATGGATTTTTAAACATTTGATGTAACTATTCTTAAACCTGTTTAGAAACAAATAAAAAAAAATCTATCCTTACGTGTTTACTGGAAACTTGTGTTTTTCATTAACTCAATACCAAGCACTATGGGATCCCTGTCTACAAAGTGCCTATATAATCTATATGGAGAGACAACAACTC